GGAATTCTTGAATGAAATCAGGTAGCGATTAATGTATGTACAAGTACAAAACCAGGAGAAAGTTCTAGGAAACGTCACGTCAGCTCGTTTTGATAGCTTAATATAATGTTTGTTCATTTCATTGCAACAAAAGTGAAATCAGCAGTAGGTATTGTGCTAAAAGTAAATTCAAAATCCTTATGGATTATGGCTAAAACACCACAAATCCGAAATTCTACATAAACAATTCAGAAAACTGAAATGCGTTTCGACATTCTAAATATCCACCCTCAGTCAAAAATAAGATAATAATAATTAGGTATGTAAAATACATACGTATATAACACACAATAATTAGTCATTGACACAATGACGAGTGTTTCACACATATTGAGTAACATATTTTACAAGTGTTTTTGAAAAGTACATCACATTTATTTTGTTTATTTTATTTTATCACATTAAGGTAGTTTAACCGAAATTTCATTTAAAGTAAAATAACAATAAATTCTATACCAATCAATAGTCAAAAACCTTTTCTTTTACAAATTTTGAGGTATAAATTGGTTTATTTTATAAATTTTCATTTGATTGCTGAGTTTACTATTTAAAACTCGATTGGAGAACCCTAATTATGTACGGGTGTAAAGCCCTGACAAAATTTAAACAAGATTAACATTATGTAGAAGTTTTGGGATACGGTGGAATTCGTTTATTACAACTCCGCCTATATTGACAAACCGCTTAATATGAAGTAATTGCAGTGTTAAGTTTGGTTTTCATATTAAATTCTCTATAGGAAAATTTGGATATAATGACTCCGTTTAGAATGACATATCGTTTATTATGACTGATTCTCAAGAAATCATATCCAGCTGTAGTGACCCAAATGATTAATAATAACATTTTCGCTCATTTTTCTGACCCTTTTTATGTATATTGATATTACAATTCATCGTTCTTTTTCTTTTTCTGTTAATAAATATATACAATTTGTAGTTTTTCTCTCTATTAAACTAATAACTAACCAAAATAAGACGCCCGCTTAGTATGACGTGTTTTTCATTTCCCTTCCATGTCATTATAAGCGAATTCAACTGTATCTACCAATGTCTTCAAAAAACAATGGAAAACAGAATTTATAGAAACAATCACAAATGCAAAATAACAATTTCCTATCCAACAGCCCACTAAATTTCAAGTAAAAAATTAACTACCATCCAATTTTACAAATGATGTTAGTAAATAAAAAATGCGAATTCACTCTAGGCAGATACGTAGCTGCCATGAAAAGGGTGACCGAATTAAAAAACTTTTTTAATATTCCAACGAAGCTTTTACCTTTACAACATACAGTTTGTCCTATGTTTATGGTTAATATTCCATCGTCCTATTAGAACGACTACCTAATTTCAGTTTATGCTATTTTAGATATTTTATAAACCCTCATTCTACTACCGATTTATTATAAAACAATACCACACATGTATATGTATAGATATGAACAAAATAAAGTTAATAATAATTCTTAGATACATCAAACTTGATAATTGTCCTCTTATATATATGTACAAATATTATATTCATTATATAATTAATTACTGATATTTAATTTACCAGGGTTACCCAACTCATTATGGTAAACGATTTTCTGTTATTTTTCGTATTTTTTACTACATTGGCTTATAATCTATTGTTTTCATTAGATTTTTTTATAAATGTTTTAAAAATGGCGCACATTTTATTCTTTGAAACACGAAAAACATTGTGCAGAGGTTAAATTTTTTCGGTCGTCATCTTTATTTCGCTAAAATACATCAGTACAAAAAATTGTTATTCACTTCGTATTAGGACATTTAATTCTCTACAAAAGATCCTAACCCCGACTACATAAATATTGTTGTTTCAGAGATAATTACAAACGGCTAAAAGTTGTAATTTTCCTCAAGGGAATCTTTTTTGGGTGACACTCAAATTGAGCTCAAACCGTAAACAGGTAAACAAGTTTGTTTATCAAGAAGAGAATTACACACAAACTTTTTTCTCATCAGAAGTATTCTTTACTTTTTAAAAGTCCTAACTAAAGTTCAAGCCGACTCTTACATTAAAATGAATTCAGTAAACCAACTAGAAAAGAAGACTTTGAGACGAAAGATATTGTTAAAAGAGATGTTGATCAAAAAATAAAGCAATTAAATGATAAAAAAGTCTGATGATACGATCTATACGAAAAATAGTGTTACGTAGTTCAATTGGTAAATATTAGAAAATACTACAAATGGCGCAGTAAACGTATGGAGATATACGTTGGAGCATACGTAATCCTAAAATGTAGCATCGTGCTACAGATGGCGTTTACTGCGCCATTTGTAGCATTTTCTAAAACGCACTGTTAAGACAGCAGGTAAAAGTTGGTCTGTGTTCTGTCGGAGCTGCCTGCGACGTGCTGATGAGATCCAAAAAGATCCAAATCGCGATCCGCGTCTGACAGTTTCGACAGAATACAGGCCACTTCGAATTATTTTATTTGGTAAATATTGTTTATTATCTATTATTTGTATATCTTGCAGAAACTACCAATTTCTAGTTTTATCCACTATACCTTGTACATATTTAAAATAGTCAATAATTGTATCATTTTATTGTGACTGGTATTATCCAAACTTCATTAATTCCTATTTTAAAACTTTATTAAAGAGTATTATTCTGTACGTATGTATAACAGCATCCTTTGTAACCTAACAGGGATGAAATCCATACCTTAATATGCGCTTTATCAGCGATTCTGATCTATTTAAGTAACGAGATAGGGGGATAGGAAGGACAAGGGTTGCTTGATTGATGGTTACCGTGGTTACTCGTTAGAACAACTGGGGTTGTCTTTGTTGAATTAAAATGCCAAATCTACAGAATGAGTTCAAAATCGAATTACAATTAATTTAGATTATATTAAAATTATATAATAATTTTTTGCTAGTTCAATGAATGCAACTATAGGTACGATAAAAAGATAATCAATACAAAACTTCTAATTCAATCGTTACGAACTTGACATATGATTCCCGCAAATTTTTTTGTGGAAGAAGAAGTGGAAACTTTAAATAATGATAGTATAGAAAAATATAATTTTTGCTTAAAAGCACTTTCCATTTGAGTCTTTTTGAAACAATATTCCCCGAAATATTTTTATTGGTGAATGTTTTCTTTGTATGTATTGTGTATGTGTAGTAGATGTACGTATCATAAAACAATTTATACGATTGAGTGCGATGTTCCCAGCACGCTTTCCACCCTTTCTCATTCGCTAACTCTTCGCATTTGTCGCGTCTGTATTCGAAGAGAACAATTTCTAAATTGCACCTAAGCATTACTTCTAAATCAAACGCTAATCAAGCAGAAACGTTACGTTTTAATCAGTTAATGGATTTGGCGACAAAGACAGCTGTACACCAGGACAAAACGGTCGGCTTCTGCGTTTACAACATTGTCAACATCTTAGGGTGACGAAAAAAAGAAAAAAAGAAACAAGAAGGTAAGGCAACCTTAACTTTTGTCGTTGAGACTTCTTTGAACACAGATCTCCTGGAGGTGTACGAACTTGTGACCAACAAACTAATACAATATATGTACGACAAAATCAGAAGAATTTTTTGAAAGAGATAAATCGTCTTCTTCATGATATTCCAAATGAAATTGAAAACGCTTATGATGTCACAAAACCAGAGACGATTCCATTAATCATTAATTTCTTTGTGTTTTGCCATTCGTCTTATTCTTAATCCACACATTCTTTTGTAGTCTTGCGATAGACAGCACCTCTCAAACTGTCTTAAATTATTTTTATTGGGTAAATAGTTTATCAAATTTATATCACAAAAGCTCTTGATTTGGACAAATTAAATAAATTTTGTAACCAGTTAAATTTTATTAAAAACAAAGCAGAATTTTTGCTTCGGAAATAGTTTAATATCCAAATAAAATATTCAAAAGATTTTTAATTTCGGATTTCGATCTGACATGCTTTAGCATTTCGAGAAAGTCGTTGGTCGTATGAATTGCAAAATTTTCATAGTCCCCTTCGACGATAAACAACATAATCGACCTCTGACGTGTCAATTGGAATCCACAAAGGCCACCCCACGATAAGGGGATGTCGAGAACTTTCAAGGAATTCGAAACCTGCACACAGTTCGATGCAGCAACTAACACAGCCGCAGGAGACGTGGAGATGTCAATTGTAGAACGGCACCTTTTCTGCTTTCGACGCTAAAACGCTTTAAATGTCACAGGTATTACACGAACCAAAACTGGGTTAAAATCAATTCTGTCGTAAGAAATTACCACCCTCAAGACAAGAAAAAAGGTAGCGACTTATTAACCCCATTCGACTTCGGAAAATCCTACGCGATTTTACAAATGTCTTCAGCATTCAACAGAATTTTGAACATAAAATCATTTTTGTAAAAACCAGAATGAAGTAAACAATTTATTTTCCATATACGTTATAGATGTTATAAATTTTAAAATTCTCTAACTCTGGGTGTATGTTTACTCTATTTCAAAATAAAAAAAACTCTTTTCTACGTTTCCTAGAATTTCCTTCCTCAAAAAAGGACTAAAAAGCATAGCAACAAAATCTGTTCACGCGCTCCCAAAATCGAATGAAACCGTATTATAATCCAACAAAATGTAATGTAATGCAGTGGAATCTAATAGCATACCATTTCAAACTCCTATTAATTCAGATGTATCTTCGGAGGGGGTTTACACCACTTCCACTGGTTAAATTCTCGATTATTAGATTAGAAAAAGTGAGCAGACACAATAAATAGAAACAAAAAATGAGAATTGTTTTAATATTTCTATGTTAAATCTATACTCTTGTATAATTATAAGAATTTTACAATAAAAATACTTCTTAATTTCCACCTTCATACTCATTGTACAGACCGTAGTAATAAACTGCTTCTCTCACGTATTAAAAGATGACATTTATTTAAACAACAACGAAAAATCAAAAACCAATGACCAAAAACAAATCAAGTCAGTTTTGAACTCAACAATGTCAAAATTCCAGTAACCCTTCAGGACATCATCCAAAATTCTCGTAACATTATTTGATTTCTTTTCAAAATTTCTCGTACTTAATACTTGAACTAAAAACATTTAAAAATGCCTTTCGTTTGCCCGCCTAAAGAAGATAGTTCTAAACGTTTGGAGGTCCTTAAGCAAATTAAGGATCTCGTTAACAAACTAGGAGAACCAGCAGTCCCAGTCAAATTGCAGGTACCATGTGTCCCGTGCTGTGTTCCTTGCGCGCCTCCACCTTGTCCACCGCCAGTTAAATCTTCCGAAAAGAAATGTAAACCTCCCGATGTTATGGTAAGAAGTGGCTTATGATTATTTTCGTCATATATATTTTTCCCTTGATTTACAGGTGTGCTACAGGATACACAAGGGGAAAGCGCAAGGACAAGGTACAGAAGATGAAGGTAAGAAGCTTAAACCTGCTAAGTCACGTGAACTTAGGTGTGGGATTTTGTATATGGGATGTGATTGTGAAAAAAGAAATGGTCTTCAAGATGACTGTCGTCGTACTGGATGTCAGGGATCGCCACAGTGTCTCACACGACCCCCCACTTGCGCTCCTAGTGAATTTAGCAACGGAAAACACTTAGGAAAAAAGAATAATTACTTTAGTAAATCTAAGAAAGGTATCAAAAGCATCTGCGTTACAGTTTTCTTTAAAAGTCGAACAAGTGCGAGTAAGTTCCACACCCTAAGAGATCAGTACTTTATTAATGGGTGTTGGAAAGTTTGCTTTAATTTTAAGAATTTTGTGGTGTTTTTGTCATTTCACATGAAGTACATAAAGTGCTCTAGCAGAAATTTGGTTCACATGGTAGTTCATCAAATAGTGCTCCGAAAATTTTCTTGGTTCAGAGTAAAGGGTTATAAATCAATCTCTTAACAATATTTGTTCCATAATTAGATGTACCAAAAGAGGCTTCTTTTTTACCAGTCGTTTTAAAATACAGGATGGAGCAATGGCAATGTGTGACATAGCACCATTACTTGGTACCGTAGGGTTACATGAAAGAAACCTGCCAAAACTACAAGTTTTTCTTTTAAATTGAGGACCTCCTTCGTGCCTAATTTCAGAATGGTATAGGTCAGCGGGAAGTACCCCGCACGTTTTGATGGGAGTCAGTCACTAAGTTAGAAAAAAGGCGCCAACAAAAGCTTGCTAAAATTATATAATAAAAGATAAATGTTTACGAATCCTTTCAGAATTAAACCGCAAAGAGAAATACTATCATGAAAAAACTCCAAGATTTAAGATTACTTTATAATCCTTGTATTTTTTTTTTTATTATCGGTGTGAAATCGAACCTAAAATTTCGCACAAGTTGAAAGCTTTCTCAAGGCTAATTTTTTAAGTTATGTTGATTATAATTTCCTTTTAGGCGGTGGAAAAGGTGGAGACGCTGGAAATATGAACATAGATGATTACTGTTGCTATCCTGCCACTATTGAAACCCAATTGTGCCCATTTGAGCCTTGCCCATGTGAAGGCGGTAGTTGAAAAATCCGGAAAATGTTAAAATTTAATTAATTTTAATAGTTAGGACATGTATGTCATCCTATAGGAAGGTCGTGTATTCTACACAGATTGTAAAATAACTTATATTATAGGTTTAAACTTTACGAAAAAGAAATAGTACCAAGTTATAAACTAACAGATGTCAAACTAATAAATATCAATAACTGTTAAAAATGTGAAAGTCTAGGGGAAAAACGATAATAATTAAAGGAGAATTAAGAATTTTTCTTTTTAATTAATCTTTTATGTAATTAGAACATGAGTATTTAAAATAATGTCTAGAATTGAAGTTCATTTGGATTAATGAAAGCCATAGCAGGTGGATTTGCACTTAATTATGTTGTTCAAAGGTAACCAATAACCATACAGAGCATTTTATTAGATTAGTTTGTCCCTGTAACAGATATGCCAACTAGAACCCGCAAAGTGAGCCCCTAGACAAGGTTCTCTTCGTAAACTAGATGGTCAGCAATGCCTGTTTGTAACTGGATCTCACGCTGTAACCTAGATTTGATTAAAAGGTAAACTTTCGGTTCTTTAGTAACGACTTGGTGTGTCACAGTTAATAAATCGGTAATTTATTCAAGAATGTAAACCATTTATAAGACAACGATAATTATATTGATTCCCAGACAAGTGCTAATAAGGATATCGTATCTTTCACATTCTAAAATGTATCCAATGTTACAAAATTTGCATCTCTTTTGTTAAAATAAGAATTTCTTTTGTTTTATTGTGGTTTATAAAATAGAATATAAAATTTCAACCGTTATATTTAACAGTTGTTTTCAACACTGAAGAAATTCTTACAATTAGTTAAAAGCTTTTTGCAGTTTAAATCGCACAAGGGGTCAGGGCCGGGTTTGTTTAAGAGTACTTGAGGCCGGTACCCACAGTCCCCAAAAAATTATCCACCCACAGAACTATGTTTAAACACAATTCTTTTTTTTTATTACGGGAACAGCCTAGTGTTGAACAGCCCTAGGGAACCCTTCATCATCTTTGTGTGAAAGTAGTACCATCCTGTCTTAACTTCAAATTATATTCTTATCTCATTCCGTGCATTATCCTTATATTATCCTACCTAAATGTTCCACCAGCTAATAGAAGACAGAAATAAACCAAATTCGAGAAAAATCCGACAAAACATACCGGAAATAAAGTGTAAAGACAATTGAAAGTTTTTCACCCGGAAATCTATAAAATTTTTAATTTTATGGGTACATTATTTTGTATAAATTTTGCCTTCTCCAACAGGGGTTTCCACCTTATTGCAGGGAGTACTCTACATATTTTAAAAATTTTATCAAAGAACACACAGTCCTATAACTTTTTGTTAACAAATTGTGGATGTACTAAACTCTTAAACAAATGGAAGTAATATTTGACCAGCAACATAAATAAAGCTGAGTATCTAACGTTTACTCAAAATCCTTTAAGTATTTCTGCCATGACCTAAATATGAACATTTTGTTTGTACAATTACTAACGTCGCCCTAAATTTTGCGAAAAACCCACTCCTCTTATTCTTCTTTGGAATAAAACGCTTGGACAGCTAATTTTAAGTAAACATAAATGTGACATCACAACAATTCTTTACCGCAAAACATTTACATACATTTTCATATATTATTATCTTTAAAAATTCAAGGGCAAGTTACATTTTAATACTGACCGGCTAAAAGAGAATATATTTAAAAGTTATTTAACACAATTATTATTATTATTTATCCTTTTTTTGCACCCATTAATATTCGTCCTCTTATCCTCCAAGAGACTTCTCTTTAGTCCTTTAATTGCTAAATAAATTATATTATTGTCGTGTTTCGTTTGTTAAATTAGCTTACAGATTCTTTAGAAAGTAATACATGTATGGGATAAGAATTAATATTAAACAATAAATCTTACCTTCAGAAACAAAAAGAAAGAGAGTCACTAGATGAACTAACATGACGATGAATCCTATGATACTGTCACTATTAACCGACAACCAAAACAAACAACTTCTTTAAAGAGGAGTTCACATAAAAATGTTCGTTATAATTCGATGAGAAAATAAGACGAAGTCGCAGGACAAAAAAGTTTGATGATGTTTGCAATTGTGGTTACATAACGGTTCGATCTAATTTGTGGCAAATTAATCAGTAACAAAGGCATACAGTAATACAACTACATTCGTTCGATCACTTGCAACTTGCAATCATCACACAAAACCTCAAGCAACATTAAAAAGTATTCAGTCATATATGGAGTTACTCTTTTTCCACAAACATTCCTAAGGATGATCGGTACATTACATTGAGTTCCTAGTGGAATATGCGGTTACAAAAATTTATTTTTTTAACGCTGAATTAACAATTGACTATTAACATTTTTATCTTCTCATGTATTAATAAATAATTATTACACTCGGAATATTACTAAAACTAAAAACCAAGTTAATGTACATACATGTTGCAGTTTAAGTTGTAGGTACCTTAAGTGAAAGCTACACTGAAAGTGGGGCTTATAATTCAAGTAATCTTATGAATAATGTATGTGTAAAGATTGTACGGAAAATGAAAGTTTTAATCGCAATCACAAACGTGTATTTAGTTATCTGCCTGGGCATAAATGTTATGTTGAACGAAAGTTTTATTCGTAGATACATACTATCGTTGGTTAGAAAATGATGTGCCTATTGCTCGAAACATTAAAACAAAAGGTATTTACGAAAGTGGGTTACAATTACATTTTACCTATACCGTAAACGTGAAAGGTTTACGCATTGATAAACTGTAAATTAGCTGAAGGAATATTATTGGCTAACCATGGCCCAGAATTTGGAATTAACACGAAATTTGAATATATACCATGTACCTATTTTCACTTAATTTTTATTTCATGTACAGGAAGTTGTTTGAAAATATTATTAATAAAGTAATTATCCGGAAAATCCGTCAGTTAGTTGCAAACAAATTTCCTCAGTTATTATTTTGCTTTTCCGAAGAACTTTTTTAAAATGAACCGTCAAATGAATATTACAGTATCTAGTAATTTTCATTTATCACTTGATAATAGACATTTAAAAAAGATAAACACTTGTTTTGAAAAAAATGTTTTCGCTAGTATTCACAAAATTAAATTTAGAAAAGTTTGCTTGTAGCGCCTTTATCTTTTTTAAATCCTTTCCTATGGATAACAGTAAACATCCTTAAAAAAAATAATTTTCATTCGTTCAACCCTCGTACTGTATAATTTGCCACAAAAACACACTTATTAACACACTCACTCCGCTAAATAATTATAAATAACAAAAAAAATATATCTAATAAAACTCGACAGTATAACACTACTATTACCATCAGGACGTGCGTCAGGACCGGCAAGAAGTTTAGTTTTCTCTAATAGACCGAACCGATCCGGACTTGAAACTGCCGACGTTTCAAAGAAGAAATCCGGGCATGAAGGCGGGAACCTGCGGGCGGACCGTCAAAACGCACGCCCACCACAACCCTGCAGACCTGCGGGGTTACAGGATAATAAAGGATCACGAAGCAGCAGGAAACAACACCGTTCTCGCAGGACTACAGCATCGCGTAACGGACAATGCAACGCACAACGAGCTCGCGATTTTATGACTGGACCAGCTCAACCGTCTGTAGCACACCAATTTTACCATTAGTCCAGGACGAGGAAATTTTCCTAACACACAACGCATTTAAAATGATGTATCAAGGGGCGAGCTTAGACCATGCAAGTTTGTCGCATCCATATAACCACATATGCGAATCGCATGGTCAAAAATTACAGCCGGACCGGAAAATATATTTAAAATGCAGAGAAAACTCCGTAGAACGCAGTGCCGTATTTATGTTCAGTGCCACCCCAGGCTAATTAAGCCTGGCTGCTCCTACCATCAGCATTTCTTCTCATCCTTGTATTAGCTATAATAACACAGTTGCTACAAAAGACATTGATTTGATTTTTTCAGGAATTTTCTGGTACGAAAAAATTTAATTAAAACCGAAAACTTTAAAGTTCACGTCAAACTCCTTTCTGTTGATAGCTCACCTAACGAATTTAGTAGCGTTTTTGCAAGGCAATTACAGAGATAGTTCTTAGGGTTCCCTACCTCAAAAGGAAAAAAGGAATCCTTACAGGATCACTTCGTTTTTCCTCTGTCTATCTGTCTGTCTGTCAAGACCCCTTTTCTCAGGAAGGCGTAGAGATGTCAAGTTGAAATTAATAATCAAATAACCAAATACTCAAGTCTGCAATCCCTTGCAGCTGTAAAAAAATTAAACTTCTAAGTCAACGCTTTCGCAAGGGAATCAAACCCTATAGGTCATTTCCCGTTGACCTACAATAATGAAATTTAACAAAAAAGCAATGTATTATAACACACCTAAGGCTGATAATTCGCAAACCGTAAATTTGTAGTTATAACACAAAAATAATTATTAAAACTTGACCAGTCATCCTACGTTTGTTTCACTGTTAAGCGTAAAAATACAATGAAAGAAAATTAAATTAGAGATTCATACTAATATTTGTTTAGAAAAGCTCACTTTATAAGAATGGCTTTACAATATTAATTAAAAATAAAAAATTTATATTTAAGGTATGAATAAATATGTTCTATTAACTCCACAATATAATTAAATTTTTAATATTTAATTTCTGCTCTTTAGTAGATATTTTTTCAAGTGTAAAATGTTTGTTAACGTAAACGACACACCAAAACTTTTAAAGCTTGTGCTCAGGGGCGGCTTTTGAAGGTGGCGAGCAGGGCAACAACTTGGAGCCTCACACATTCGAGCAACAATCTAAGTACTTAGATAAATATTAGGTACTAATAATAACATCATTTTTGAATCCTTGTTTCTTTTAAGACATTAATGCACCTTAGTTTATAATGATTAATAATAATTTGTATTTATTAATTTTTGTTAATTTACAAAAGACAAACAACTCTGAATTTATTTACTTTGCTTTTCTCGTCAAGTATCATCATTAAAATTAATTCGACAGACAAGGCCCGTAAAAATCTACCCTCCTAAAATATCGCAATGGCTAAGACTGTCCCTGCTTGTACCGATACAAATTTACTGGAATATGAAATTCAAGGTTGTTAATAACGAAAACCAGGATAAAATATATGACATAACAACTTGCACGAGGGGGGCTCTATATGTACTCTCATATAGACACAAAATTTATAATTCTATCCAAAGCGAACCGGAACCTATTTCTGATATTTGTTGAAAAAAGTATTAAATCGAAAATGTAAATTAGTTTTTTAGATAATCTATACATAAGCACAGAAAATATCTCACAATTAAATAGAATGTTTGATGTGTTCACTTTTTTCTGATTAATAATTGCTGGAGCTGTTCGAGATATTGTTTCGTTACCATTAGATGAGGGCATTAATTTACACAAATTGTATTAATATCTCAGACAGTATGCAAAATTAAACTATAAATTATCGTAATAAGCAGCAACTTGAAAGCTTTGGAAAGTTTAAATGCAACTTATGAGCGAACGTTATGAAAATAAATTACGACGATTGTGTGAAACCCGCAAACTCCCAAGAAGTAATGGCTTAAACTTTAATGCAATAATAATTTAATAGTTTAATAGGATATTCCTAAACAATATTCAACTATTGCAAAGTTGGATAGATTTTATTATACGTACGTGCAATAGTACAATAATATTTAATGCTGTTATTGTTTTCACTTTTTATTAGAAGTAACTATTAAGTGAGTGAAAAGCGCTTGAAAAAAAATTTACATTACAAAAACATCTTAAGACAATAGATTTCTTCAGATCTCAACGTTCCCAAACTACTAGAATAATATTTCCGTTGTTTTCATCTGGGTTAACAGGTTATCGGCTCGTTTACGTGAACTTTTTCCTCTCCCAGATTTCCATTACTTTAACATTCATTTCTTTAAAGCCTGTCTGTACCAAAGTCAATATATAAAAAAGAAACGATATAAATCATCATTTGAAAAATACAACGTGGTATTCGTACAAATACCTTTTTGTATAAATAATCCTAATCCTAAGTAATATTATAAATGCGAATGTGTTTCTTTGTAACAATTTTACTCCTTAACTACTTAAGCTAACATCATGAAATTTTGTATACGCATTGCTGGAGGTACAGAATAGGACATAAGGTACCTTTTTATCCACAAAATATACTGTTCCTGAGGGATAGAACAACTAGTTTTGTGAGGTCGTCCAGCAGATTATAAGTAAATTGTTTTGAATTAAACTAAAATATACATATAGTACTAACTTAAATATTATTTTCAATTTTTAAATACTTTTAACCGCGGGTGAAACCTAGTAGAAAGTACAATATATATAAGTCCAATAAACGCAATTTAAAAGTTTTGAGGGATGTAGTAAGGCTTTGTTCAAAAGATTTTGAGAGTTCAGTTACTTTAGATCAGTTTCAAATTATGCATTTTCACTCGTGCAACAAAAAAAAAAAAACACGCAGAAATGTGTAATTTCTATGTTCTTTACCTGTATATGCAATTATTACTAACTATTAGGGAAGAAAATGAATGTAATTGTTATAGAAAAGTATTTTACACTTATTACGTTTTTAGTTTTTAATGTTTCTGTTTGTAAAAATTATTGTAACGAGTAAAATCCCTAATTGGATTCCTTTTAGGATTTTCGTCACTAATAAAAATAAGTTTAGAATAACAACAAACAGGAGGTTGTAGAATTTGAATTGTTATTTTAATGTTGAATAAACTTGCTGATAAAATAGCGCGACCATAATGCGATCATTTAAGATAATATACTAAAGATAATAGGTAATATGTCAAATAGCAATATTTAATTACAGTAAGCTTCCTTTCAGCACATACTTATTTATTTGGAAATATCTAATGTCTTCAAGCACGTACCCTCGTAGTGTCGCTCCATTGCAGGTATTCAAGCAACCTTTTAGCTAACTAAATGGTACTGATCTACTACGGTATCTTAAGAAATTTTGTTGAATTGTATAAAAAAGTATTTCAAGAGAGTACTTACGAAAGTATTAACTCTTTGTCTACCATTTAAGTTGTTGCATCTCTGAAACGAAGTGTTTTCGAGCACAAATTTATCTGAACGTTTTGCTCAGAATTATCGATACTACCATTTCCCAAAATATTTGGCATTCCTCCTGAAACACCCTGTATATACAAATTAACTTGCTCCCAAAAAAGGAAAGTATAATACAAGCTGTACTGATATTTACACGAATAATGAAATACTGCAACGATATGAAATAAACGTGTTTTTCTGCTTCTGAATTTAACCCACTTATTATCAAAGTTGTAGAAGCTATCCAAAAAAGTTACTCAAGACACGGCTAAATAAGTAAAATGCCTCAAGAAGAAAAAAAGAACGTCTATGAGAAACAATGAACTCTATGAGAAATACAATAAACCATAGACGATAAACTATGACAATAAACGTACATAACCCCAATTTTTCGATATATACAATTAGTATATAACTGTTAATATTTGATTAATCGAGCAATTATAATTCTATAAAATGACCTCTGGAATGCTTTATGGGGGTGATGAGATAGGGGCACTGGTTTTTGATCCAGGGCATCACTCTCTAAGGGTAGGTTATGCCCAAGAGGATACCCCAAAAGCAGAAATACCGGCAGTAATTGGTGTTGCCCCTGATGAATCCATAAAATTGGAACCTGAAGCTAAACAAGACAATAATAATGTTACTCAGTCACCCAATGGTATTTACCTCGACCTTTTTTAAATTAGCATACTCTACATGTGTTTCTATTTTAGCATGGAAATATTATATTGATACTACATTTTTATATACACCTAGGAATAAGCTGGAGCTTCATAATTACATGAGTGAAGGTATGATCGATAATTGGGATTACTTTGAGAAGATTATCGATTATTCGTATGATAAGGTAACAATATTTTATATTAAAATTTATCAAAATCATTGCTTTTTTTTTCTAGATTATACAATCTCAGTCTGAATATCATCCAGTTTTATTTTCTGAATCTCCATGGAATCAACGCCAAAAGCGTGAAAAGCTATGTGAAATTATGTTTGAAAAATACAAAGTACCTGCTTTTTATTTAGTAAAAAATGCTGCCTTAGCAGCTTTTGCAAATGGTAGATCAACTGCATTAGTAATTGATAGTGGGGCCACTCACACCTCTGCAGTCCCTGTAGTAGATGGTTATGTTCTTACTCATTTAGCTTTAAACTCATCAATAGGTAAAAAGTAACCATATCTTATTTATATGTCTAACTAATATATATTAATAGGGGGAGATTACTTAATTAGAGTAGCAAAAGAAATGTTAGAAAGTCAAAATATTGATTTGACACCTGCTGCTCTCATAGCAAGTAAGGAGGTAGTAAGGGACAAGGAAAAACCTAAATACATTAAAAAAAACTTATCATTTACTCCTACAAATAGTTGGATGGCTTATATGGTTAAGAAAACAGTTCAAGACTTTCAGCAAAGTGTTTTACAGGTAGGTAAATTTTTTTTGGTTGAATTTCTGTGATTATGTAAAATTTATTTTAACTCTGAAGGTTTCTGAAAGTCTATATGATGAAAGAATAGCTTCAAGTATTCCAGCAGTACATTATGAGTTTCCAACAGGTTATCATCAAGATTTTGGGCCAGAAAGGTTCAAACTAGCTGAAGGTCTTTTTGACCAAGCAGTTTTAGGTGCCGGATACATGGGTAAAATAATCAGCTTATGGTCTTGTACTTTTAGTATTTATCTTATTTAAATTTTAATTTTAGCTGCAACTAGTGCAAGTATGTGTGAGGTTGATATAAGACCAGCTCTATACAGTTCTGTTGTTATTACTGGCGGAAATACTTTAATTCAGGTAGGAACTATAAAGAAACCTGGTTTTTGCCAATTTGAGACGTTTTGTGTGTTGCTTTCTAGGGATTTAGTGAACGACTTAGCAAAGACCTGTCTTCACGAACACCGGGATCCATGAGACTAAAAATTATTGCTGCAAATGGTACTGTTGAAAGACGATTTGGTGCGTGGGTTGGAGGGTCTATACTCGCGTCCATTGGAACATTCCAGCAGATGTGGATGTCAGCTCAGGAATACCAGGAAGCAGGCAAATCACAAATAGATCGCAAGTGCCCTTAAAGAACTTATTCGTTACTGAAGACACACGACCTTAACAACTTACTTTTTGCAGTAACCTACCTACCACTACCATTTTTCAGTCATTCCAAAGTCAATAAGTTTGACTACATTTAGAATATTTTTTAATTAATAACATTTAAGTTTTCTTTAACTATATTGCTGTCACAAATTTTCTTTTTGTTTTTATTAAGGTGTGTATAAAAAATTTCCCTTAGTATTTTTAAGAATATTATAAAACATGAATTACCTCCAAAAAAAATATTTGACAAAATATTTACGATTTTGTATTTTTTATGTATTGTGCAGACTGATAAAAAAAATTGTATTTCATAGTAAACACTTTACTACTGCCAGTAGATTTCCTTCTCAATACAAAAATGTTCCATAAATCAAATCAGGTATTAGCATCAAAGATTACAATTTATAAAAACTTGAATACACAATCTTTAGCATATGAAAAGCCCAATTATTAGAAAAAACCTTTTACTGAGTGACGTATTTACAAAGAAAACAACTGCAGCACTGACATAAATTAAATATTCTAATTGGAATATTCTTAACATTAAGACATTGGAATACACAAAACTAAGTTTAGCAGGTTGTACAAAGAATAATAAAATGTATTACAGACTATGAATCGATTATTTTCAAGTAAGATCCGAATTGAAATTGCCTTTTTTAAAAGTAAAATAAATGGGAACCAAAGGCAATTCCATTTCAATTTAAAACTAAGTCACTGTAAATGACGAAAATCCAGAATTAAAAAAAAATGAAAAAAAGGAACAGTTCATTTACTTTTTCTTTGTGTTTTTAACTGGTGTCTTTCCTTTTGCATTACTGGAAGTCGTTTTCGCCTTCTTATTTTTAGGGCCTTCGTCTTCTTCTTCGTCTTCCTCCTTAAACAAAAAGAAAAATTTGTTACAAACACTAACACGAAAACAACTAATTCAGACCTCTTTTTCGTCGATGTCCGACAATTTTCGTTTTTGTTTGATACGGTTCTCCTGCAAAGGAGTCACATTACAAGTTTTTTGGTATATAAAAACTATTTAGTGTTTACCAAGTTATTTTGTATTTAAATAATCATAAATTTCATAATTAATAAAGTGAGGCAAAATTAACACATCTTTTCCAAAAAGAATATTTTTTTCAAATATTACCACCAGCCATATTAAAAAATGTGATAATTTACTCATGTAATGATTGCACAAACACATTCATATAAATGAGTTACTGTAAATCAAAAGCAAACTTAATGACTTTAATTTTAACTTTAGAATAGGTATTTTTGTTCTCTTAACACACATTAAAATTGGTATAAAAATGTTGTTAGGTTATATTAGATATTTGTCCACTTATTGTACATTGGAACTTAAAATAGCAAAATCATTTACTTCAAAGCACTTTACCCACTTCAAATAACACTGCACACCAAATAAAATTGCACAGCTTATAATTTGCTACTATCTACGGTACATACTTCCCATGTTAATACATCAAATTTGCAGCCTATATTTAATTAAAAAAGAAAATTTCCAATACTTACAGCTCCTTCTTCGCCTTCTTCATCATCCAGCATTTCTTCTTCCATCTCATCCATTTCATCAAATTCATCGATGGCACTACCAATAAGATGATGTCCTATAATATGCACTGGGCCTGAGCCTTGAGCCAAACTAAATGTAACAGGGGGGTCTGGGAAAGATAAATCCAATAGTACTTGATTCTGACTTCCTGATTTTAAAACTGCTACAGGAATAGTAACTGATTCTTTCCATGTCATTGCTTCTACTTGGATAACATTAACTTCGCCTTCGACAGCGTCGGCTCCTAACAAAGCTTGTTTGATGATAAGCTTGTGTCCTCCTTGTAAATCTTCGCCTCCTTTGGATTCTGGATCCCATACTTCAGATGCCTTTGCTCCTTTAAGGGTGAGAGCTAAAAAAAATAACGAAAAAGTCTAGTAATCTAGTCGACGATGCATATCAATACAAATGGCGCGCAAAACACCGGTTTCGGCGTAACGTCTTTACACTAGTAAATACACGAAAACACGAAAAATACGTTCCTTCACTCGCCAAATTATATCAGAATATTACATACATACCGTAAAAATATTCGTCTGCCATTTTTTTACGAGGGATGATGACGGATTACAAAGAAATACACGTGACAATAACCCGGCAATCCTCTCAAGGGTAGAAAGACCGAAGCGAAGCAAATGGCGGGCGGACGTTGAGAGAGCTTCTAGTTCTCACCAACCACCAACAGTAGCGTTGTCGTAGAAATACAAAAAGCTATGTTTACACGGTTTACACCTTACTAAACTACCAAAATTGCAAATACAGGGTGAATAATAAACTCTTGGTTTATAAAACCACTTTTTTTATTTAAAAAAAAATTTTAATGTTACAATTAAGGACGTGTCATTACGAAACATGTTTTAAATAAATAAATATAATAAAACAAGACAGGGAGTTGTTTCAACAAACTTTATTCAATAAAACAAATCACTCAACAATTGTTTGGAGTGTTGAGAGATTTATTTCGTTTTATTTATAAATTGTTTAAGATCGTACCCTATCAAAATATTTACCAGCATAAGTGAAGAAATACAGTTGTCATAAAGGAAATAATATTTTGATTTCTAAATACAACACTATAAAAAGGCAAATTTTAATTCCATAACATTTATAAAAATAAAACGCAATTAGTTTTCTTCTCTTATTACACAATAATAAACTGCAAGCATATCTGAAGTTTCCAGAATCAAAGATAAGATGAGTAGGATGGACACTCTGTATATCAATGACAACATGCTTTAAAGATTTTAACCTAAAACAATACATTCCGTATTGTATTTTGCCGTGGTACTGAAATTGCGTTATTCTAGACAAGAACTTTTTTAGTTCCTGAAATGTACTTAAATTTATTGTTTTACATCTGTAGTTGTAAAGGAAAAAATGAAGTGTGAACTGTGCACAGTAATAATTCTGATTCTTATGGTTTTTCCTTGTAATGAATGCCGAAATAAAGCAAAAGAAGATAGCGAAGATGAGAAATCAAATAAAGAAAATACAATTTCAGGTAAAAAACGTATATATACTCTACTGTATCCTGTTTTAAGGCAGTATTTTGTAGATAAATCCAATAGTAATGAAGATGTCGACGTCAGCAATACAAACATTATTAATTCAGTTAAATCTGCCGCTGTTTTGCAATTGCCGAAATCATCCGAAGATATTCCATCGAAACCGAAGAAAAGCCCGTCAAATTTGAAAATTCAAACAGTCGCTAAACTAAAAGAATCCTTAAAGCATATTCAAGGAGATGATGTCAAACGACCAGAAGAGATTGAGAAAATTAAAAACAGATTTAAAAAATACGAGGAGATTAAGAAAGAAATGAGCGAACTTAATTTATTTCCCAGGAGTGACTCGGAAATTATAAAACAACTTCTTGAGGACTATAAAAGTGCCACAAATGACGAAAATATTTTAACATTTATTGAAGACTTTGATTATCTCGTACACCAGTATGATAATGCTCAGGAATTTATGAACTTAAACGGTTTCAAAGAGATCATTTATCGTAACATAAATTCCACAAATCCAAAAATTCGTGCAGAAGCTTTAAAATTATTAGGATCTGCAGTACAACACAATGCCAAAGTTCAGATACATGCTTTAGAAACCGATGCTGTAAATATTTTACTAAAAGTATTGGCTATTGATTCCAACCATTTTGTAAAAATGAGAGCTGTTTTTGCATTAAGCAGTTTACTGAGAAGGTTTCCTATTGCGCAATTTAAATTCGTTGAAAACGCAGGTCTCAGTGTTTTTTCAACTTTCTTTGATAAACCCCAAGATATCAAAATTCAATTAAAAATTATTACTTTATTAAATGACCTCTTGATAGAACATCAGCATGCCAAAAATGACAGTAATGCAGTAGATTTTGTTGAAAAGACAAAACAGTATTCGTTAGTTAATTTAAACGAACGTTTAAAAAACGATAACTGGTGTCAAAAGATAGAAAATGTACTTAAAAATGTGATTTTGGTAGATGAAATGGATCACGACTCGATACAAAAGTGTTTAGAATTCATGAAATCTGTTTCAGACATTTGTGGTTCGAATTATTCGCAAAATACTTTACGTATTGTGAGAAATCTTAGAGAAATATACGAAGATTTAGTTTTTTCGGAACAGTCTGACGATTTTGGTACCGAATATTACTTAGATATGCGGAACTTGTGTGATGATGTTTTAAAAAATATCACAATGAAAGTAGTCAAAACTGAATTGTAAAAATTTAGTTATTTCTGAAAATATATTTTCATTTTGCGATGTTTACTTTTTAACTGACTTCCAAGTAATAAAAAAAAACATTGCAATGTAGCTTAGCCTATTAATGAATAAATGAACAGCAAGCAAAATATTTAACAAATAAAATCTACTAAACTCTTTTAAGATCATATTTATTGCACGTTTATGACTTACATTAATTTTTGCGTATTACCGGAGACAAGTATTATTTGTGCAAAATATCAGGACAGGATTGAGTTTGAAAACTTCTATTAGAAACGAAAAAGTTAATAGTGAACGGTGTTGTGAAAATACTTGGACGGTATTCGGGGGGATTCCCACAAGATAAATCTCCTGTCTTTACAGTTGTTTTAGATTGAATTTCTGATACTTGAACTAAATCTAAACCATCAGAATCACATGTTTTACTAATAACATCCGCTTTCTTCTCAATATGAAATTTAGAAAAGGTTGACTGATCCTTCAAAAAAACTTTATTATAGGGCCCCATAGTGAATTTCTTTAGTTCCTTGAACTTTTCGTCAGTTTTTTCTTTATCCTTTTCTATTACCTTTTTTATTTTGTTTTTATTGGTGTCTTTTATGCAAACTTCTTCGTACTTTTTTTTATTGTTTTGTTCAGTTAATGAATTTCGCTCATTGTTTTCTTTAAAATGTATTCTGGATCGATTTCGTTTATTTTGGTTGCAAATATTAATGTTGTGATATTCTGGCTGTTTCGTTTCATTATGGTAAGCAGATGTAGAAGTAGTGATTTCTGGCCTTAAACTTTGTTCAGTTGACTTTGATGTTATTCGAAAATGCGATTGTTTCTCGTTCAATATTGTTTTATTTATCGGATCTTGAACATCCGCGCATTTTGTCGGATAATATTTTAGTTTGTTGTTTAGTTTATACTTTGTTAAAACATTGTGCATTTTATTTAATTGCTCGCCCATTCTTTCGATTTCCTTTTGCAAACAAAAATTTTCGTGTAGTAAATTTCCATTTTGCTTAATTATCTTCAACAAAAGCGCAAAAAGGTATAAATATTATATTTTACAATACTTTTTATTGATATTGTTTTAGTACCTGAAGATAACGGTTATTACTTGGAGAAATGCAATTTTTAAATTCATTATTTACGACGAAATGCAATTCTTTATTTAATAAAGCTATTCTTGACTCTAGTTCTACAGCTATCTAAAAAGTACGTAAAAATGGCCGTGTTTTTACATAATACAATTGTTCCATAATTACTTTGGTTCGGTCCTCTTGTATTTTTCTAAGTCGATTTTTAAACTGAGATTTTGTAGTTTTCATTCGTAAAAATCTAATACTTAAATTATAATTCGCTTCCAAAGTTTCTCGAAGAGCGTCTTTTAACTGTTTTACTTCCGATTTACATGACTCGAGCTCTTCTTCAAGTTTTTTTACTAAAATATGACAACTTCTTTTTGAAAGTTTCCTTTTAAGTTGTCGAGCTTCGCTCATTTCTTGGGTATAAGATTCTTTTACTTCAAAATAATATTTCCGTTCATTTTCAAGCTGATTTTTTAAATCAGTACTTGAAAGTTTTTCTCTTCTTAAACTGTTAGCTAATATTTCTTTATCCTTGATTAACTTTTCCTTATCTTTGTAAAGTTTCTCTTTATCTCTCATTAATTTTGCAAGTGAAAGTTCTTTTCTTTCGGACTCCTGTTGCATTGCACTTACAGCACTCTGCAGTAATTGTACTTGTTCTTTTAAACTTTTTACTTCCAATTCTAAATTTTCTTTCATTACCGATAACTTTTGTGATTTACTTAACCGTTATTATTTTATTTGATTTCAAAAAAAAGTAATTGGAAATATTTCTTAGATTACCAGAATTTTAAAGTCTTCATTCATTGGGTTTTTGTTAACTTTACTGCTTTCTTTTGCAAAATAACTTTCTAATAATACATATACTTTTGCGTCTATTTAACATATCGCAACTAAGTCAAAAAGACAAAACTATCAACTTTACAAATCACTTTTAACCTTTGGTAAGTGACAAAATCAAATTTAAATCTTTTGGCGGGTTTACTATAGAATGAATTGAAATTTGAAATGACCAATAACAGTTTACAACTGACTATAGAACAGCTGAGTGTTGAGGTTATGGTTTTCCATCGAAAATATAACCCCAAATTTATATCAAATTTTAATTCTTAATGCAAAAGATAAAAAAGGAAAAGGCATGAATAATACGGAAGAAATTATCAAAGACGCGATAGAAGATGTTTCCTCTACAGACGATGTGAGTTTATTGGTAATAATTTTAGATACCAATCCAGGTCAACGTATTTTACGAGAGAACCCTCATACATTAACACAGATTATTGATTCAGTAATCGCTTTTGCAAATGCCCATTTATTGCAAAAAGCTCAAAATAAATTAGTAATAATGGCTTGTCATTCAAGAGCAAGGTAAAAATGATATTAATATTTTATAAAACATCTTTTACATTAGTGCTATTTTTAATAGTCAGTTTATATATCCTGGACTTGGGAAGGCCTTAGATGTCAGACAAATTGATGGGCAATACGAAGCATTTACTTTAGTTGAAAAAACTGTTAAACTTAACTTATCAAAACTTCTCAGTGAATCAATAACAGTTAGTAATGAATCTTTACTAGCTGGTGCAATAGCAATGGCTTTGTGTTATATACATAGAATACATAAGAGTAAGCCTCCAGGATGCAAAGTACTGTGATGTCAATATGCTATTATTCCTTTTCACAGTTTAAATCTTTTATAGATCAATAGTCGAATATTGGTATTAACAGCAAGTGGAGATTCTGCTTCACAATATATGAATTATATGAATGTTTTCTTTACAGCACAAAAACAAAATGTTGTTATAGATGTTTGTGCTATTGATCAGCATTTAAGTCTTTTACAGCAAGGATGTGATATAACTAATGGGATGTATCTGAAAATTCCACAACTTCAGGGATTATTACAGTACTTGTTGGTAAAGGTTTATTTCATTAGTAGATAAGCAGACCTAGTAGTCAGTTCGAAACAGCATTATGTATAAGCTGTAAAAAGCAAAGGAGAGCTAACTGACTTGTTAGGTTTTTACCCTACATTGTTTATTAAGGCTACAATTTTTTATTTTATTAAATAGATAAAAATTTTAGTGGGTATTTCTACCTGAGCCCCCCATAAGAAAAAAATTAGTATTGCCTCCTCCAGTGAAAGTAGACTATAGAGCTGCTTGTTTTTGTCATAGGGAGCTTATTGATATTGGATATGTATGTTCAGTGTGCCTTTCAAGTAAGTCCATGAAGAGTAAACAATATTAAATAAACAGAATTTTATTTTATTTTTTCAGTATTTTGCAAGTTTAGTCCTATTTGCACCACATGTCAGTAAGTTATAATAATAATGTTTTTTTGAATATCCCTTTTAACTAATTTATTTATTTTTCAGTACCGTTTTTAAAATACCTGGACCACTGGCTGTGAAGTCAAAAAAGAAAAAAATCAAGCTTTAGTGCTGTATATTTTACTGTCATACTTTAAATAGTTAATTTTATTCTTTTTTATTTACAAATAGGAAACTCCAAGTTTTGTTCTAGTTGTTTTCTTTCTTGTAAATAAAAAATTTTAATGTCATTACTATCTTTTGTGATCACACAAAACTCTGAACAAGCCAAATTTAAAAATCCAATTCCATATAAAGGCCCATTAGCATTGAAAATAGATTGCATATGTAAAACCTAAAAATTAATATTGTAAACCGGGTTTATAATGCAATTAATGTTCAGATATACTTTTTCTTCTTTGGTCAAGTACCAAATTTTTATGTACATATCCTCAGATGCTGTTATGATTAAATTTTTGAGATGGGAATAGTCTAAAGCAGTTATTTTAAGTTTATGAGCTAATACTCGTATCATTTTATCATCATTGTCATCCAATTCTAAATTGTAAATACAAAATTCTCCAGATTCGTACGCAGTTATAAGCAAATAATTTAATAAAATTTCTGTTGTTGCATATGACAATAATCTGGAATAAAGATAATGTTCACTTTTGAATGTTTGTATATGTACGGAAAACTTAAAAAAATCATCGCAGCACTTTTCAAATGACTTAATGTTTTGAGCGAGTGAAATTCGCGCCTTTAGTTATTCTTTATAAACAATTGGTCGTTTAACAAAATGTTATACCCGGGAACCCAAAGTTTTTGATATATTTTAAAATCCTTATTTTTTATTTTCCATACGTATGTATCTTGTCTTGATGTTGATACCATTAAATCATTCTGACCACTTAAAATTGTAATCTCGTCCTCATGACCATACAAACGATTGATTGTTTTAAAATTTAAGTTGTCTGATGCTGATAAAAAAACCCAAATCGTTCCAGAACTAGTTGCCACACATAGCATAGCGTCTTGCACTATACATGCGTCAGTTGTGTAGCCTGAAGCGTTTTATATTAAGTAATTTGAACCAATTTTCGCGCAAATTCACAATACTAACTTGTTTTCAGGCCATTTTCTCTACAGCAATGATAATATTGTATATCAGTTGCGTCGCTGTCGCAAATTTGTAAACCTGCGTCAGACATTATGATAAACATTGACTCTCCGTTTATTTCAAGCCATTTCACCTATAAATATTTTGGCATTTTGACCTCCGTTTGAGTATATATTGTATTAATTTTACCCTTGTTATTCGGCCTTCTCCTCTCTGATTTCCTCTGTGCAAAGGAACATATTTTGATCTCTTTTTCGTATTTAAAACGGGAATTATATTAACGAAACCGCCATGTACGAGGGTGGATTGATAAGTTTCCGGCCTGACCAAGAAAAACAAGGTTTTTAAAAATTTTTTTTTTTTATTTCTCAACATAATCTCCTCCAAGGCTGATACATTTCTCATAGCGGTGTTCCAGTCTATTAATGCCATCTCTATAGACTGATTCGTCAAGCTCCTCAAAATAACCATTTAC